TAAAAAAAAAAACCCACTCCTGGGGGTGCCTCAGTGGCTCAGCTGGTTAAATGTCTGACTTCGGCTCAAGTCATGGTCTCCCAGTTTGTGAGTTCGAGCCCTGCGTTGGGCTCTGTGCTGATAGCTCAGAACCTGAAGCCTGCTTTGAACTCTGTCTCCCTCTTTCTCTGCCCCTCCTCCTCTCGCACTCTCTCTCTCTTTCAAAAGTGGATAAACATTAAAAAACAACAATAACAAAAAAGAACAACAAAAAAACCCCACTCCTGAGGGAGAAGAGGAAGAGGCCTGGTGGGGACACAGATGGGGCCTGGATTGGTAACTGTTGAACAGAGTGATAGGAACATGGGGATTATTACATTCTTCTTTTTTTTTGTTGTACTAAAAATATTCCATAATAGGGGCACCTGCGTGGCTCTGTTGGTTAAGCATGTACACTGTTGCCCATAGCAGTTGTTATTCATAACAGTAAAAAATTAGCAAACCAAACGTACATCAAGACGGAAATAGGTAAGCAAAGAAACACAACTCAGCAATCAAAAGGAATTAACCACTGATCCACACAACACAAGGAATCTCAAAAACATGCTGAGGCAAAGAAGCCAGACAGAAGAGCAAACACTGTGTGATTCCCTAACACAGAACGTCTGTACAGGAAGGAAGACGTCCTATGCTGCTCCCCTGTACTGACACAAAGCCTGTTCTCTGGGCCGGCCAGCAGCATGGGGGCGAGGGACACTGGAGTGATGCAAATACTCTGCATCTTAGATATCGTTGTGTAGTGTTACTTGGGTGCATACTTTTGCCAAAACTCATCAACCTGCCCACTTAAAAATGGGCTCATTATACCTGTAAGTTCCATCCAATCAAGTCGACTGAAAACCTCTCACTGAATGGTACCTTTAAAGCTGATGTGCTTTACCGGACGTAAATTTTACCCCCTTACCCCCAAAGAGAATATGTTGAACCCCAGTTCAGTATGTGAGAAATGAGTGCCGTGCAGGGAAAGATGGTGCCAGTGAGTGGGCAGAGGGACAGACTGGGACAAGCAAGTGTAACAACATGTCAATCACTGCAGAACCTAAAGACTGCATATTAGGAATTTTCTGTACATTTCTTTCAACTTCGCTGTATGTTTGGCATTTTCATAAAATGTTGGGAAAAGCGCTGGTGTGGATGAGCACAAGCTCTCATTTCTCACCAGCCCCCGGGGCAATGGCCTGCTGTGAATCCAAGTAAGAGTCTCTCTAATTGACAGATTTATGGGACTGCTGTTTTGGGACATACTAACCCTTGAATAGCATTACGGTTTCAAAATGCTGTTCTCTCATCCTCACAAAGCCCATGTTTATTTAGTGCCCACTGTATGCAGGCAGTGCGGGGTGGAGGGTCCTGGAAGCCACGACTCTCAGTGGGTCAACCCTGTGACCAGGTGGGGGGCAACCACACATCGGCCTGCGCAGCACGGCTACAAAAGGTGCTCCAAACACTGAGGTAGAGAACAGGGCAGGCAGGCAGGGCGCCGAAGGGAACAGCTGTATACTTGGACTCATCACACTCCGAAAAACAGGCCAGAAAGGCAGCGAGCCGCCTGGGCCCACCTGCAGCACGCGACTCATCCACTGGAAGCTGTCCTCCTCGGAGGCATCAGGCCGCTGCTCAGCCACAAGCACGATCCGGTCATCGTGCAGCACCGTCACGGAGAACACGGCAATCCTGGGGGAAGACGAGGACAAAAATGACCACCCAGCAAAGGGCACTGAGCAGGACACAGACACTCGCTCTCACTTGGACGATGTGAAAGTGCTAGTGTTCACAAGCCAATCTAGCAACCGGCTGCTTGCTTCAAATCTAAAGAGCAACCAGTCCCTAATCTCCTACAGTGTGGCTGAAATAAGTTCCAATTCACTAAAACAAAAAGGACTTCGGGGGAGAGCAAAACAACCAGGCACATATTGTAAAAGACAATTTTCCTTAATTATAATACATATGGTACATTTCCGTGTGCAGAAATCTTTGTCCGCAAGTATTATGAGTTCTATGGGGTGCCTGAGTGGCTCAGTCGGTTAAGTGTCCAACTCTTGGTCTCAGCTGGGGTCATGATCTCATGGTTCATGGGTTCAAGCCCCGCATCGGGCTCTGTACTGACAGCGTGGAGCCTGCTTGGGATTCTCTCTTTCTGCCCCTCCCCCTTGCTCTCTCTCAAAATAAATAAATTCTAAAAATTTCTTTTAATAACTTAAACATCCTTAAAGTTAAATAATAACTTAAAAGCCTGCTTCTCAGACGCTGCCCTCCCTCCATGCGTGTGCCCCCTCCCCTGGGGTCTGCTTTCTGGACGCCAGCCCTTTTCTCACTCCATCTCTCTTAATTTTTCTTTTCAACTTTCTTTTTCCTTACTTCCGGAGAAGTTCCTTAATCTGACTTTCTAACTTATCACTTCCTTCTCTAGCTGTTATCTCTCCTACTGTTTATTCCATTTATCATGTTTGTGTTTAAGAACAAAGAACTCCTTTCACGTGCTAGCATTCTTGGGACATTGTTCCTGTAGGGCACACTCTATCGGCTGTGGCTCATTTTGAGGTGGTTACGGTGGTGGGGACAGGAAGGTACCCTGTCCAATGGGAGATGCAATCACCCAGACCTCCATTAATCACTTGAGATGGCATGGATTTCTCAGGGTTGGCCTTCGCCTCCAGGTACCACCAGGTTCCGGTGGCCTCCCTAATCTAGTCCAGAAACAGGTGTGGGCCACCCTGACCTTATGCCTATGGATACCTACACCAACAGTGTCCCATTTTTGCTGTGAGGGCAGGTCACGATGTCCTGGCATCCCATGCTCTAGGCACCCATACAGGCTTGCCCTGCCAGTTTCTCCAGGGTGGTCATCCCCCACCCCTGTTGTCCTGACCTAAGAGAAGGGTCATCAGTGCCCACCATTTGGCAGAATTCCTTAAGGATTTCTTTAAGGGATATTCAAAGGCAGGGTCTAGCCAGGCTCAGGGGTACCTTAGTGTGAGTAACAAGAGCCCCCCCCTTGAGAAGAAAATTGAAAAAGCTCTGTCAGTTGGATGGGCCAACTAGGAGACCAGGCTGCTCCTCCAGGGCAAAGAGCTCAGGAAGTGAACAGAGTCAGACAGGGTTTTCCTCTCCTCACCCCAGCTGCCCTGGGTCTAGGCCAGAGGTCCATTTATTGGCTCAACAGAAACAAGAATCTTTAAAGGGCTTGCCTAACACACTAGAAAAGCTGAATTGATTCTTATCCCAGGAGCAAGGTAGGGCCTCTGTGTGTCTCGCTGAACCTTAGCAGAAGAGACACTCGGCCATCGGTGATTTCAGAGCACCTGGTACGTGGTTGTTTCGGTTTGCATGTCTAGGTTCTAGGATGCTGACCCAAGTGCTCCATGGGCCTCATCCTCTGAAAGAGCTGTGTGAGCACTGTGAGAGGTGAGGACAGAACAGGCTCCTGGCTGCAAAGATCATCCTCTTTCTGTGAAGTTTTTCTGATGGGCCGGAAGTTTTAGGTTTTGTGTATTCAAATCACTGGGCTTTCCTTCTACTGAAGAGAGACTTCTCAACTCAAACTGTAAGTAGAGAAGGGATCTAGAGCCACAGCACAGGGACCCGCAGCGCATCACCTGCCTCTGTAGACAAACTTCATGGGCTCCACAGCCAGCGCAGTGGCCACGATGTCATCCGCGTTGTGTCTACGAACTCCAACCACCATTAGCCCATCCAGCTTGCCCACGACAAAAACCAGGTTATCCTGGAAGCAAGGATGCTGGTCAGGACTCAGGATACGCAGGCAAGCCCTGGGGGGTCAGGCAGCTGATGGCTGCTCCAAGCAGCCAAAAGCACATGGAAACCAAGGAACAGACGGGTCCACATGGCCCAGGGGTGGCTATGGGGTGGAAGGGTCATGCAGCCTGGTGGGCTGGGCTGGGGGCCAGGGGACATCTGGAGGGGAGTCGGCGGTGGAAAGGTGAAGCTGTACAGGACTCCTACTGCTACCGGGCCTACGGGCATCAGGAACATCCTGAGCTGACAGCCCTGTCGTGTTTGCTGTCCTGTGCACTATGGGATGTGGAGAGTAGTCCATGGCCCCTAGATACCCAATAGATGCGGGCAGCGTCCCTCCCACTGAGGTGTGGAGGCCCAGGTCCTGGCAGCAGAACATACTCACAGGCCCAATGAAGCCCAGCAGCCCTGTCCTGGTGAAAGGCCTGTCAGACACGGGGGCTCCTCCTGCTGTGACCGGGACAGTCTGCATAGAACAGAGAGGGGACAGTCAGGCTGTGGTCCATGGATAATCAACCAGCTGGCCAGTAAGACCCAGCAGGCAAGCAGGAGAGCTCAGCACACACTCTGCCTGCTGGCAGATGAGGCTGTCGCCCAAGGTTCCCTGGGCGGGGGAAGGAGTCCCTGCCAGCAGATGAGACCCTCCTGGGGCTCCCACACCCAGCATGGCCTGTGTCCCTCCTGCTACCCCCTTATTTCCACGTGTCCAGTGCCTGGCCCAGAGGAGTGGGCACTCATTGGACTCATCCCAACAAGTCAACACTTCCAACATGCAAAGTGCTGGCTTCCAGGAGCTGACCTTGCCCAGTGTGCTGCATCAGTGCTTATGGAACTTAACTCCAACATAAAGGTCACAAAAAGGTACAAACCTCAAAGACGCTCTTTGTGATTCCAAGTAGTCCATAGTACGCTGTGCCAGTTGCGCTGGAATTGACACATATTTCTCCAACCTCATCAGTTTTACAGAGATAAGGGGTACCTTCTACCTTCACAACACACACATCAGCTGAAAAGAGAAAAAACCCTCAAAATTATAAGCATGGAAATACACATAAATGGGTCATTCACAGAGATCTACTTGCTGCTACGTCTGCAGTTATGGGAACAAAACATTATACACGCAGTGTGTTCTTAGGATGAGTTCTAGGACATGTAGAATCCACACTCTATGCAGGCGCAAATCTACATTTTATACGTAGTGTGTAACCACAACACAATGCATCCTGCACGTATAAGCCCGGGCTGACAGGATTCCACACCCCCCCTCATGTGGCCCTCCTGAACCCACGGGACAGGCCAGCTGACCCCATAGTTCCCTTGTCACTAAGCAGTTCCCCAGCAGACAATCCTGGGCATTGGGGACCTTGCCTGTCAGGTCACTGCAGCCCCAGGCCGGCCAGCCCTGCAAGAGCAGGCCCACAAACAGCTTCCAACAGAAGAGTGACGTGCGTGCCAGAACACACAGGTGTCTGTTAAAACAAACTCGGTCACTCAGTGATGAATTAAGCAGCCTGTGGGGGCCTGCGCACTGCCCTCCCTTGGACTCTAATACATGCTCCTGTCCAAAGACTCAGGCGATCAGGAAGACAAAGAAGGGGCACTCATTCAGCGACTTTTGTTTATTCACAAATCCGACCATGTTCTGTAAAGTGGAGGCTGGTGCTCCTGTGCAGGTCACTGTGAGCCCACAGCTCACAGCCAGATACTCTCACAATAAGGCACGAAAGGCCGCAAATCCACTTCATGGGGGGCTAACACAGTGCAAGGTTAAGTATCTGCTTAGCAAGGCGCCATCAGCCCTCACCAGGCCAATCAGCTCCGCAACTGTCCCAGTGAACACATGCTGACCTGGGGAGCACTGCACACACACACCCAGAGGAGCACTATACACACACACACACACACACACACACACACACACACGCATATAGGGGAGCACTATACACACACACCTAGGGGAGCACTGCACGCGCACACACATGCACACACCCGCGGGACCACTGCATACACACATGCACCGAGAAGAGCACTATGCACACACACTCCTAGGGGAACACTGTGCACACACATGCACACTCCTCAGGGAGCACTGTGCGCACACACACACACACACACACACACACACATACTCCTAGGGGAGCACTGTGTGCACACATGCCTAAGGAGGGTGGTCAAGATAGTTACCCATGAATCTCAGAAAGGCCTGCATGGTGAGGAGACAGCAGAGCAGCTGTGAGGTCATCGCAGTGAGGGGTAACCTCAGAGCAGCATGAACAGAGCATCCCCTATTCACAACTGTCACTAGGGACTCCTGGGCCAGGCTCAGTGCTCAGTTTCCCTCTGCGACACTTAGGTCGCTCTATCACCCTCTCCTGTGGCATTGCCATGGGGCCAGCATTCAGGCGCATGGGGCCTAATGGGCAGGAGGGCTCACGTAGGCCTTTCTGGAAGCCACAGGAATTTCCTGGAAGCTTCAGGGTCATGCTCCTAATGTAACACATACTCCTTGCTGGTATAACCCAATTATCAGGCTGTTTACAGACGTGCAGTGAGGTTAAATGCCTCAACGTGTGTGATGCACGAAGCCTGTACCTGGCCTGCAGGGACTGCTCCATTTCCCAGACACCAGACAAGCACAAGTCAGGTTCAGAGGCCACAAGCACACCCTCATATTTTCGCTCAACATTAAATTTATCACAAGGGCAGGCAAAAACTGAAAAGATGTATTACAAATTAAAACACCAATTTATACAGAAAAACATTGTTAATAAGCCTTTTACTTGTGTGCTTGCAGAGCACTCCTTCAAAGCCTGGAGCACTTTGGACTCTCCTTCTGTCAACCGCTCGCAGGACAAGACACACTCCGGCTGCATCCCTCACCTCCAGGCAGCACCTGACCCACGTCCTGAACAGTAAGAACTGACAACTTCTCTTCAGTATCAACTCTGATCACGCCAAAACTGAGACCGCTCATCGACAGGACAGCTTTTCGTGGAGGAGGTCCTCCCAGGTCTGGTGGCCTAGAAAACGAAACCAGACCAGCTGACAAGGGGACAGAGCCCATGGGGGAAGGGACCCACGGCCCACCTAGCCTGCAGGACGATGCTGCACCAAAGCCCCTCTCGGCACCACACCCTGTGAGGACAACAGGCCACACGACTGGCCACAGCAGACAGTCTTCCTGAAGGCGCTGCAGCGTTTCCACCCCACGTGCTATTCCCCACGTGGGGACCTGCACACACCTCCCACCCAGAGGCAGGGTCTGCGTCCCTTCCTTCATCTGGTGGGCCTGTGACAACCGTGTAAGTGATACTATGTGACTTCCCAGGAGGGGTCCTAACGGTGATTCAGCTTCTACCTGGCTGTGCTGAGACCTTTGCTGGGAGCCCTGGGCAGCCAGGTGAGCAGAATGACGTGCCTGCACAGGCCCAGGGCAGCCCACTCCAGAGACCAGAGACTGTGCAGGAAGCCACGTCTGCCAGTCCAAACTCCGGACACAGAGAGTGAAGGGAAATACAATGGCTGTTGCCAGCAGGTGTGGGGGTGGGGTGCGCAGCTGCAGCTGGGACCCGAGTAACAAAGGTCAGTGTTTTATCCAGTGAGAAAAAGCACACTGTTGGGCAAGAGAAGTCACCACAGAACAAAGGAATGAAGAACACCTTATGGCGTGTGAAGGATAAAGATGTTATTTTTCTTGCTGAGTTGTTAAAATTCTAGGATTACTGAAGACTTGCACATATGAAAGCACAGACTATGAATATACTAATCTAACATTCTCGACTAACCATACCGCCCCCCACCCCAGGATGCCACTCGGAGCTGCTGGGGACAAGAGCCCTGGGGCAGGCGAGAGGTGACCCGGGAAGGAAAAAGTGGCCTGGGGAGCGCCATGGGTGTGGGAGGAGCACAGGAAGGACGAGACCCTGCCCTCTGGGCTGTGATGGAGGAGCACAGACGGCCCTGGGGGCTTCCCCGTGAGTGGGCGGTGCTAAGCATGGGTCACGGTGCTTCTCCAGGAAGGGTGAGGGCCCCACAAGCACAGACCCCCGAGCACGGCTGCCAGCACCGCAGATGCAGGGCCCTCCCCAGGGCAGGGAAGAGCTCTGGGCTGCTATGTTTACCAAGGCCAAGGAGGAGGAGAGGCGCTCAGGGAAGACAAGCCCATGATTACAGTCCCGGGAGCAGCTACACAGGTCCCACCACCAACAGGGCGAGGGGCATGTGCCCCGGGGGACCGCGCCATCACTCTGCACACACGCCTGGGAACCTGGCACAGGATGGCGCGTTGATTGCTCCAGAGCGTTGACTGCTCCTACTGCTCAGAGACAGACTGGCTGTATTTGGTACCACAGGTAATTCAGCTGTAGGAGTGAGAACTCCGTGTTTACAAGACTGAGCAAGCAACCACATTACCTGCGGATGGCGACCGTCAGCGCCTCAGGAGAACTGGCGCAAGGACAGATGACCTCTGGCCTCAGCCCTCTAGACTGGAAGACATTGAGGAACGCATCACAGGAGGATATGGACCCTGCGTAAGACAGAGGGAGACAAGCGGAGGGGTGGGCTGTTTCCATGAAAAACATGGTGCATTTTGAAATCACTAGCAGAGAAGAGTTGGAAATTCCTCCCAGAAAGCCTGTGTCTAACCCCTGCCGTGTTTCTGAGTTCTAACTCACAGCCAGCCTTGCCCTCACCCCTCCTCCCAGGTCTGCTGAGGGGGAAGTGACAGAGGAGTGTTTACAGGCAACTCTTCCTCCTCACAAGGCCCAGGTGCATGTAAGCGCCTGCTGCGGAAAGCGCCTTGGGGCCACGGGGTCCCTGCCATGAGCGGCCCATGCACCACCCCCAAGCTGCCCCCCTGCTTCTTCCCTGCTCTCCCTGGCCAGTCTGGGGTGTCACAGATGTGGGAACTCAGCTCCCCGGTAGGTGGGTGCTGCCTGCTTGGGGCCGCAACCATCAGGACCCCAGGGCCGTACCACAAACCTCAAGCTCTCTGCCACAGAGAGGCCCAGGAAGGGGAGGGGCCCGCGTCCCGCTCGTGCTGGGCACTGGTAGACAGCAGAGGACACACAAGACAACCCAGCTCATTCAGGGGGCATGCGGAGCGGCAGGATCTGAGGTTTGTGGAGGATCAGGTCTGGCGAAGGGCTTCCTCGTGGAAGCCTAGCGACTGGGAGGGTGGAGGCTGTGCCAGGTGAGAAGTTGTTGGCAGTGGGCTGTTCAGGTGGCTCGGGGACACAGAGCAGCGAGCAGCTCTTGGTATCTTGGAGGCAGGATGGAGGAGGCCCTGCTGGGCCCAGGTGTGGGTGGAAGAGCTAGAAGGCGGTGTGCCCTCCTGAGCGGTGGGGGACCCAGGGGTGCAGGGCTCTCAGGGCCCTTCTCACTAGGGGACTAGATGAAAGGCCAGCCTCTGGTCCAGGGTGGTTGCAATGCAAAAACAGCAGCACACAGCTGTTAAACCCACAAGAAAACCCACCTACCTGGTCAAGGGCTTTGTGCTGCATAGAAACCCCACCAAAGGTCAACGGAGCCTCCCCTGCGGCAGGCCTCGGACAGCCCCCAACAGGCAGCCACGCTCAGACCCCGTGCAGAGCCCAGGGCACACATCAGCCGCCAGGGGAAATCCCACAAGGAGGTGGAGCCAGATCAGTGGGGCCACAGGGACCAAGGACGGAGGCTGGGACAGGCTCCCAATTAACATCTACATTCTGGTCATTTCTTTTTTTTTTAAATTTTTTTTTTTTTTTTTTCAACGTTTATTTATTTTTGGGACAGAGAGAGACAGAGCATGAACGGGGGAGGGGCAGAGAGAGAGGGAGACACAGAATCGGAAACAGGCTCCAGGCTCCGAGCCATCAGCCCAGAGCCTGACGCGGGGCTCGAACCCACGGACCGCGAGATCGTGACCTGGCTGAAGTCGGACGCTCAACCGACTGCGCCACCCAGGCGCCCCTGGTCATTTCTTAATGTATCTTCTGTCAATGGTGTTAAAACTGCTTTTAAACTCAGAGCCTTCATAAACATGCATGGGAGATACCAGTGAGTACCCCCCCCCCTTGCTCCCCACCACCAGGGGTTGTATGTCACAGCAGGTTACAGGACATTCATTTATTTCATGCACACGGAATGTCGCCATGCTGTTTCTTCCATATTCTACTAAAGCCTCTTCCCCCCCAGAGTCAGGCCTGAGGGAGGAGAGGCCACGTCCTCCATCAGCTGGGCTTACTCACAGGGGTTTGCGCCATCAGCCACGATCAGCATGCGCAGCGAGCTGAGGCTGACGTCCCTCTGTCCTCGCTGAGCTAGGAGAGACCAGTGCATGTCTCGGGATTTCACCAGCGCGGCCCGGGCTGCAGAGGAGGAGCACAGACATGCCCTGTGTCATGGGAAAGTGGTGCCCTGGCACCTCACAGACACACATGCAGGTGCACGAGAGGACAGACAACACAGACTTGTGTTTCTGGCCACAGGCTCCCTGCAGCCATGTCCCATAGGCAGTGCAACTGTCCTGACCTGCTGTGCTTAAAAACCAGCTCTGAGGTCTGATTCAGACACAGAAATCTCAGATCTGTCTCCCAATTTTAATTTTCTCTTGGAAGCTCTATCTTGCTCTTCCCATGTCTGCTCTTCTGTCTTCTGTGGTCCCTACCTGAGCTGCTGACTCACACGGTCATGTGGCCAGGCCTGCCGTGTGCTGGGAAGACACCAGGATGTGAAGAGATAGACTCGGCCCTCAGTCCTGGCTGCGCACAGATGAGTGGGCCACACCTGCCAAATCCACCACAACTTGAGCTGTCCCCCATAAAACAGGAGAAACAGAGACAGCTACCACCCAAGGCTGTTGCAAAGATGCACAGCAGAGCACGCGCCCAACGTCCGCATGTGGCCGCCAGCGCTGCGATCAGCATGGGCAGTCACCGGGGACAAGTTAGTGGGAGAAAAGAGACCTGAGGCCCAGCCTCTGGGCTTTCTGAAGGTGCCCCCCAGCCCTGCTGGAGTAGAGACAGGGCCGAGGGTTGTGCAGGTGCTCAGGGAGCACTGCAGCTAACCAAGGCAGGGGGCAGGGCAGGGCACGGCAGGGCCCATGGGCAGCCTCATGGCCACTCTGTCTACATTGCTTCTTTGGAATCAGCAGCTCTGCTAGTGGTGGCTTGAAAAGCCCAGCTTCAGATTAAAACCCTCTCTATCTACTACTAAGAATTGAGAGTAGTGATGTGACTATAAAGGAAATTTCAAGAGAATAAAATCAGAAGCCTATGGTCCTTGCAGGAGAGAGCTGTCATGGCGCTGTCCTCCACAAGGGTCATCCAGGCCGTGCACGCAGGTCAGGCAACGTCTGAGACGTGGTCACAGCACACGCGGGCTGTGGGGGCTCCTCAGCCCGCATCTGCAGTTCTGTGTGTCAGCTTTATTGTTTTCTTAATCTAAGTGACCTCTTTTTTTTTTTTTTTTTAATTTTTTTAACATTTTATTTACTTTTGAGACAGGGAGAGACAGAGCACGAACGGGGGAGGGTCAGAGAGAGAGGGAGACACAGAATCCGAAACAGGCTCCAGGCTCTGAGCTGTCAGCACAGAGCCTGACGCGGGGCTTGAACTCACGGACAGTGAGATCGTGACCTGAGCTGAAGTCGGACGCTTAACTGACTGAGCCACCCAGGCGCCCCCCAAGTGACCTCTTTAATGAAGGGTGAATCCAACGACGGTGCTGTTTCCCGTTACCTTTATACGAACACACTTTCTGAATCCAGGACAGTGGGTTCACTTTCATCAGTGCGTACGGGATGCTGACCACGTGCATCCTATTCATAACACTCTGTGAAAAAAAGACAGAGGTGCTCAGGGGCAGGCCTCGTCCAGGGGCAGACAGCAGAGGGCCACACCACGCCAGAGAAGGCAAAGATAACGTCAATGGCCTTCTCATGATGACACTTCATTTCAGATAAGGGTTAATTACATCACCTAAAAATAGGGATTGGTGTCATCTATTGATAGGAAGCACTAGAATCCCTCATTGCAACAATTAGATCATTTAGCATACAACACTCACTGTTAACACTCCATGCCACAGACCAGCATCCCTTTTGAAATCCAGCACATTTGTTAATGTTTCAGCTGAAAGTGGACAAAGATGGTTAAACCACTGAGTGACCCTCTTCACAAGTCATGTGCATTTTTAAAGAAACCAAGATGAATACATCATTGACATGAAGGGTTTTAGGAAACATACACAACATTTCCAAACACCATGCACTAATTCATCAATTATCTTGGTTATCTATTCATATTACCAGAAAAACTCAAAAGTAGGTCAATATGATTTTGGATTCAAACAGAGAGCTATGCTGATCCCTGGTCCGAAAACACAAGCAACGGCGTGCCCAAGGCGGCTGCTCAAGCCTCTCACTCTGCAGTGAGATGTGGGGTGAGGACTCACCATGGACACGCTTACTTCTCACTTTACACCCAGACTCCCCCATTTCTCGCACCGAGGCCACTACCCTCCATCTTCGGGCAATGTCACGGGCTGCTCGTGTTGTAGCCCCCTCAGAAAGCTGCCCCTTCTCTCTGCTCTCCCCCAGCGGAGGTGGCGGACGCACGAGCGGGTGGCGACCCAGGCCGCACACAGCCTTGTGCTCGGCAGGACCTGGCTCCAGGCCCCACACAGGGGCTGTGAGCAAATGTGGCCCCCATCAAAACCACAGCAACGCCCAGGTGCATCCCCACAGGATGGACACCAAAGGTGAACACAGGTCTGCTGTGCCAGGAAACATGAGTGCTTTCTGAATAGGTTCTGTGCACACGCTCCCTTTGTTAGCTAAAGAGCCCACATGAGAAGGGATACATAGATCTTGACAAAAAGAAAACCATGTGACTTGATTTAACGAATCCAATTTTTAAAAAATTATTCAGGCCCTTGAATATCTCTAAAATCATTTTCCAAATTTTAACTGAAGTCTTCAGCTACCCCTTTTAATTTCATTATTTTTTTACCCCTTACTTTTAAACACCCACATTTTAGTTATTAAAACACACCATTCAATTTACTTTCTAGTTTTATTCAATTCCAGTATTGCTATGGTAAGGAAACTACCATGTATCCATTGTTATAGTTTTTAAAATAACAGTTCTCTAAGTTAAATATCCAATATTTAACAGTAAATTGGGTGGGGGGGGGGGAAGCTACCT